TTTTGGTTTTAATGTTTTGTTTGGATTTTTTGCAGAAAGTGTCAAAGAAGAGCAGTTGGATGGTGTTGTTGTTTTTTTGGTATATTTATTATTCATTATCATTTAGGCCTCTGCTGCTGGGGGGTGTCTACACGTGAATTGACCGAGATGCCCTTGTGTTGAATTTGTGTTTATGATGAAATTGGTTGTTACGATTTGGTCTTGAATCTAAAATTGTTTTGAATTGGTACTGTTTTTCGAGGGCAAATTGTTCTATTTAATAATTTAATTTCATTTTTAGGTCATGAGCCATGTAAAAATCTGAAAAAAGTCTTTTGTAGTCTACTAAAATAGTCTCTTAAAAAGAAATATTTGGCAGTAAATTTAGGGTTAAATTTTCAAGTTTTAAAACTGAAGGGCTAATGGTATTATAGGAGCTTAGTATAATATTTGAACATGTATATTTTATGTATACAAAATTGATTATGAACAGCAAAAAAATGTTGGTTTTGAGGTTGTATGAGGGTAAGGACCGCAAAAAGTAGTGGAAAAGGTAGGAAATGTTTTCATATGGTTGGAGTGGTTCAACCAAGCCTTATCATGCCTAAATTATAACCCTTTATAAATTGTAGTAATATATAATGAAGAACCTCTAGGAACTCGCTTGCTTCTAGAACAATTTCATAGAGAAACAAGAAAAAAAAATTAAATTAAATTAATGACATGTTCTTATTATTCAAAATATTTCTTTTTCAATTTTCAGACAGTTATTTCAGCATGAGAAGTTCCAAATTCTTACATAACTGTGGAATTTCACACCATTAAAGTTATGTTTGGTAGGTAAATAAGTTAGTTTATATCTTATTTGATTAACTTATAAATTTCCTGTTTTTAAATAAGCATCGTTTGGTAAGACGAGTTTTTTTTTTTTTTTTAAAACGATCGAGTTTATCTCATAAACTTCTTTGAGTAGTTTTTCAAATAAATTATTTAGAATAGTAGATCACCTACAAATTCTCTCATAATAAGTTCGAAGAATAAAGACAACGATATGTCATTGTTCGAGTCCATGAGGAGAAGTGAAAACCTTCGAAGAAAAAAATCAAATAATGAAGTAGTTGTAGTGTAGGGAAAGCCAAGGCTAATTTGGTAATTTCAGTGTGTATGAAATTACATCTTGAAGTGGTTGAAAATAAATTTTTTAGTAAAGTGTAGATATATATATATATATATATATAGAAGAAAGTCAACTAAAGTAATGATATTATGCAGTCTTATAAGAAAGTATCAAACTTTTATGTTGTTTGCTAGTTTTGTTTTTCCCAATTGGTTTGACTTTGGTGGGAGGAGGCAGAGAGAAGGGTTCTCATTAATTAATTAATTAATTAATTCATAGTAATATTCAAAGTCGGCAT